GGCATCATTAGCGTGGAATTACTGTAGCATGATTACCCGGGCGTCACACAACATGAGGAAGCTATCTTAACAAAATACTACCTACCATCGAGGAAGGCTGAAGAGAAGGCCGCCACCCAGCGCAACGGCGGCTGATATTCAATGGTCGCACCATAGCCCAGTTTTTTTTGCTATTTTGAGATGATACTGGTGCCCTCTTGGCGGTAGAGAACTTCTTCATCAGACCGGCGATTGAAGCTCAAACTTTGGAGGCCTTGGCGCTGTGGCGATGCTGTATGTTTCTTCATAGATTGGAAAACTGTTAGCTAATTGTTCAGCATGACTGTCTGCAACTGGTGGGTCGTATGAACAAATGTACTTCTATTGTGGCTCCAACCATCGATGGTTGTATTGAGATATGTAAAGAGTTAGGAGACCTCCTCCTCCTTAGCATGGTTGTATTCATATATGTAAAGAGTTAGGAGACCTCCTCCTCAGCGCCTCAAGCATTAGGTGGTTAGCTGGCGCCCACACCGAACGCTTGCCGGCGGTGGCCCATTGGCATGCTTGCTCGCTACTCGGTCCTCTCATTCTTCCTTCTCAACTTTGTTTTTTTATCACCTTGTACTACGGCTACCGCTGAACTGTCTTAGGAAAATTACTTTTCATCTCTTAAGTAGAATAATTTGACATATTTTTAAATTTTTTATGGAATTGTAAACAAGTTCCATTAAAAAACATAAATTTCTAGAAAAAAATCATGAATTTGGAGAAAGTTTGTGAATGTGAAGCATGTTTGTGAATTTGAAAATTGTTCATGAACTTTAAAAATGTTCAAAATTTTTAAAAAAGATCACGAATTTAAGAAGGTTCACAAAGTCGAAAAAAATCACTAATTTCAAAGATATTCTCGAATTTGAAAAAAGTTCACATGTTTGAAAAAAAATCACAAATTTGAATAAAAATCCTGAATTTGGAAATTTTCACATATCTAAAAAAATTGATAATCTTGCAAAACAAATCACAGATTTAAAACTTTTGCAAAATTGAAAAATGTGTGTGAATTTGGGAAAAGTCCACGGATTTTAACAAAAGTTCATGAATTTTTAAAAAAATCATACAATTGGATTTTTTTATGAATTTGAAGAAAATCTCACAAATTAAAAAAAATTCATGAATTTAGAAAAAACTTCATAGATTTGAAAATTTTCAACAAGTTTGATAAAGTTCGCGGATTTGAAGAAGTTCATTAATTGTGGAAAAGATCACGAGTTTAGAAATGTTTAAAAAATAATGAAAAGGAAAAAGTAAAAAAAAAGAACAAAAAAACCAGTGAAAAAGTCCAGATAAACGAATGTAGAAAGGAAAACAAACTGGTGTATAAAAGCATTGCCCTGATCGGCTGAACCAGTTACAGTAAGGCTATGTATGCTAGGGGTGTGCGTCAGTTTCATTTTGCCTATAAGTGGCGCAGAGGACGCCGAATAATAAGTGGGTAAAGTTTGTGCATTGCATTGCTCATGAACTGGCTAGATGAGCAAGGATTAATCTTCAGCTGTACAAAATAAAACAACCGTAGAAGGCTTTCCAATAAAAGTCTGGCTAGGTCTCAGTTGATTAAGACTTAATCAAATCTCAATCAAGTGATATAACAAATAAGAAAGAAAAAAAGTTAAAAAAAAGGAAATTTTGCATGAATCTACATACAAGATCTCACCGATATTGCGTCGACTTTAGACTTAACTATGTCTTAAGTCTAAGTCGGCTGAGATCAGCAACACTGTTCCAAAAAAAATGATTACATGTAAACCAATTATTACGGGCCACTTGTTGTAAAAAATAGATAAATTTACGTTGTAACCCGATTACAGGAACCAAAGACATTCTCCGGCTGCTAGTTCGCGATACTACGCGGTACATGGTGATACTCCGACCGCAGTTGGTCTCGTACGGCATACTAGTTGGGACTTCCGACCAGTGCACGCCACGGCCGTCCGATCTGAATCAAAAACAGCTATCGTACTACGTCAAAGTTGTAATCGGGTTACACCGTTGGATCTGAGGTCGAATCGACTTGCGCGCCAAACTACCTCCCTGCCGTGTCGGCCTCGCACACGTCAATCAGAACACGATCACGACTCCAGACCGTACGGCCAGACCAGTATATAATCACCAGCCGACACTCCAAAACCATAAGTCGATCGATCGAAACCTAAGACGAGCGCCGCGGCAGCCATGGCAGGTCGCGGAGCGGCCGCGGCAGCGGGCGCCTTGGTGCTCCTCGTCATCTTAGCCGCCTCCTCGCCTGCAGCCGCCGCCCACGTCGACGAAGCAGCTGAGCATGGTGCGCGGGGGCTGACGCGGCGGACGGAGGCTGATGTGCGGGCGATGTTCGACGCGTGGCTGGCGCGGCACGGCCGCTCGTACAACGCGCTCGCCGAGTACGTCCGTCGGCTCCGCGCGTTCCGGGACAACCTCGACTTCGTCGAAGCGCACAACGCTCGTGCTGCGCAGCGCGGCGGGTTCCGCCTCGGGATGAACCGCTTCGCCGACCTCACCAACGCCGAGTTCCGCGCCGCCTACCTCGGCGCCGGCGCCGCTGGCAGGGCCCGCAACGCCGTCGGCGATCGCTACAGGTACCATGCCGAGGACGTGCTGCCGGAGTCCGTGGACTGGAGGGAGAAGGGCGCGGTCGCGCCCGTCAAGAACCAGGGCCATTGCGGCAGCTGCTGGGCGTTCTCCACGGTCGCCGCGGTGGAAGGCGTCAACAAGATGGTCACCGGGAAGCTCGTGAAGCTGTCGGAACAGGAGCTCGTGGACTGCTCGCGCAACGGGCAGAACAGCGGGTGCAACGGCGGCATCATGGACGACGCCTTCGACTTCATCGTCCGGAACGGCGGCATCGACACCGAGGAGGACTACCCCTACACCGCCAAGGAGGGCAAGTGCGACCTCGCCAAGAAGGCCCGCAAGGTCGTCTCCATCGACGGCTTCGAGGACGTGCCCGCCGACGACGAGGCGTCGCTGATGAAGGCCGTGGCGCACCAGCCGGTGAGCGTCGCCATCGAGGCGGGCGGGCGTGAGTTCCAGCTCTACGAGTCCGGGGTCTTCACGGGCCGGTGCGGCACGGAGCTAGACCACGCCGTTCTGGCCGTGGGCTACGGCACGGAGGCGGACGGCGGCAAGGGCTTCTGGCTCGTGCGCAACTCGTGGGGTCCGGGCTGGGGCGAGGGCGGCTACATCCGGATGGAGCGCAACGTGACGGCAAGCTCCGGCAAGTGCGGCATCGCCATGTTCGCGTCCTACCCCGTCAAGAACGGGCCCAACCCGAAGCCGGCACCACCGGCGCCGGAGGAGAAGTGCGACCGCTACAGCTCGTGCCCGGCGGGGAGCACGTGCTGCTGCACGTACGGCGTGAGGAACGTGTGCCTTGCGTGGGGATGCTGCCCGGCCGAGGGCGCCACCTGTTGCAGGGACCGGGGCACCTGCTGCCCGTCGGACTACCCCGTCTGCAACGCTGGGAGCCGCACCTGCGCCAAGAGCAAAGGAAGTCCGTACACCGTGGATGCGCTGCCGCGCACGCCGGCAAAGCGACAGAGGACGGCGGTCTCAGATCTTGTTGATTCGATCTTTTCGATCTAGGCAGTTTAGGTTACAGCTTTTTGTTTTCATAACGTAGCAATCATTTTTTTTCCGAGAGTCCTTGTAAATACTTGTAGTATCTTATTAGGAGGAATCATTCTTTTTCCAATGGTAATTGTAAATACAGTATAGTTTTAGGACAAGTCATTGTAAAAAAAAAATAGAGAAGTCATTGTTCTTATATACATTACCTACTTTTTTTTTCTTTAGTAAGGAATGGTATATGATCATGGTCATAGTTCCTAATATGATCCACGGTAAGAGATACAGTAGAATTGAGGGAGGTGAAACTACAAACCAGGAACTACCTTCATGAACTTTGCTAGCTAGCTGGGCCAATTCATGAGCAAAGAGTTCGCCTCGTTAAACTCATGTTCAAAAACCACTTTGGCAAAATCTGAAGTCATGAAATAACAATCGTTAAGCACTGCTGCTGCACCTCCTCAATCTATTTTAACCAATTGAATCAGGTCCATCGTTCAGAGCAATAGCTTCTACTGAAACGACATCCCTGATAATTTGGAGTTTCTAGTCGCAATAGTACGGCTGGCCAACTAATCCGCCAGCCCCGGGAGCCCGTTGATCCCATCTTTTGTCCATATGGTCATTACCCAAAAGTTGGTTTGCCAATGATTTTAGTTTGCTACCGTGGGAATTTAAGTATGTGTTATTGATATTCTTGGTGACAAATAACGAATAATAAAGGTACGCAGGGATTGAAATGTTGAAATATTTGGATTATGCTAGATTATGAACTCTGGGATGTGCAAGAGATTTGAATGCGAAATATTCAGACAACAAAAGATTTCTCATGGTGACAAATTATGAAGTGTGAAATTTTAGAATCTTTGAGCGACATAAACATCCCAAATGTGAAAATATACAAATTGTGTTGCCTTCCTCCGTAGCTGTTATTATTTTCCAAAAAGGTGCTTAAGGTGTAAAAGTAACATTGCCAAATTAAGTTAACCATTTTTAGTATCTAATACAAACCGTCCACCATCCACCGTGTGTGACAGATATGTTGTATTTGTTCTATGTGGATTTTGTGCAACCGAGGTTTTGCACAAACCTGAAGTTAAGTTGGGTGGCTAGAATGACATGTATGCATATATTTGTATTTTTGTCGTACGTGAATTTTCTGCAACCGCGGTTTTGCACAAACCTCAAAACTAACTTGGGTGGCTAGAATTGCATGTATGAATATCTTTGTAGGAACAACATTTTAATAACACAACATTGCTCAGCTTGTGAATCGCTAGAAAGTTGAGTTTTCTAGAAGATTCATTATTATTATTATCACATAAATAATTGTATACATTCCATGAGTGACACATTTAACTACAGCTAAAGCACTCATACAATTTTTTTCCATCAATTCAAACTGGTGTTGCTACAATACAAAGGGGAACGACCTTAGTAAGTGTGAGGCCAAACTTATCTTCCATGTCAATCCCATCCCTTTCCATCTCAGCAGGGAGACTCCACTTAAACTGATGTAACAACGAAGCGAGGATCAAATGCACCATCCTAGTTGCCAATGTCATCCCAGGGCAGATCCGACGTCCGGCACCAAAAGGAAGGAGCTCAAAATCCGCACCTCTAAAGTCAACTGTGGAATCCAAGAACCTTTCCGGCATAAATTTCTCAGGTTCATCCCATACATCTTTATCTCGACCTATCGCCCATACGTTTATGAAAATGCATGAACCTTTCGGTATTGTGTAGCCTGCTATTTTCAGTGCCGCTTCAGGTTGGCGTGGCAACAAGAGTGGAGCAGGAGGATGGAGTCGAAAAGTCTCTTTTATGATAGCTTGCATATAGGGCAACCGAACAATGTCAGCCTCTTCAATGTTTCTTGTTGGGCCGATAACTTGTTCAAGCTCATTGCAAGCCTTAGCCAATGATGATGGATTTTGGAGAAGCTCGGCCAATGCCCATTCCACTGTGCTAGAGCTTGTGTCAGTGCCGGCGGCAAACAAATCCTAACATGCAAAGTCACATCAATATAGTCTGGCAAATGTAGCTATCTAGATACTCTAAACAAGCATCACATAACGTACAATGGATAATTTGCTAATCTGCTATACAACAATGGAAAATTGTTTTGTGGTGCACATAGCAATACTGTATGGATGAATTATATAAGCAATACTTCCATTATTTTCAGAGTTAGATTTGATATTCTTCCCATTGCATTATAATAGAAGAAGCCATTGTGCGTGGACTTATTTTCTTGTGCGTTGGATGAAGTGCAGTCCATGTAAGGGCTATGGTGGGAATTTGAAATGCGGCAAAATACAATAAGACTTGGTTGAAAGAAAGAAAAACATATGAATTTGAGTTTTAGATGATCCTATCTCATGTCTCCAAAAAAAAAGAGAGATGATTATATCCTTATAAAGGAAAATTCCGACGCTGCTCCTCGTATCTCATGAATAGATGCCATAATTCCTACACAATTCCTAAGCAGAGACTACTCTATAGGGATTTTAGCGGCAGAGATATGAGCTTTTGAATTTACCAGCGTTCATGTTTTCTGTAGCAAACTTGAAAGTCTATTACTATCTATAGGAATATATTTGTTTGTTTCGATCTAAAAATGCAGATCAAACGTATATTGAGTAGATTGATTTGATTGTAGAAGACTATATTACCCTTTTGACTAAAAGGGATAACTTCTAATCTCTACCTTTAATCTGTATCTAAGCAAAGTTCTTAGATATTTCGATGCTAGCATTTTTTAAAAATGGTAATATCACGGCTTTTAATTTTAAATACGGCATCATTTGTTTGATTTGATCCTCGGCCGGCTCAATCGTCATGGCTGGCCATGTGAATTTCTATCTCTCACTTGCAAACTGAAACATCAACTGCAATTGCAAAACAGAAGGGGAAAAAATGTTGTTACCGTGAAAAGTGGGCGTAGCGTTTGGCGGTCGAGCAGGTCCTTGCCATCCTCACGCGCCGCCACGTCGAGCAGCACGTCCAGGAAGTCGTTCTTCCCGTGCTGGCCGGCGTCACGGGCGCGCAGCCTCTGGTCCACCTCAGCGTCGAACACCACGTGCAGCCGAGCGAGCAGCCTCGCCAGCCGCCGGCGCGTGCCCTGCAGGTCGGCCGGGGCGAGCACCGGGAAGAAGTCCGACACGTTGGGGGTCCCCACGGCCTCCATGATCCCCGTCACCACCTCCTGGAACTCTCCGGAGCGGTTGTCGTCGTCGAGGCTCGTGAGGTCGTGGGAGAAGATGGTGCGGGAGAGCAGGTTCAGGCTGGTCGTGAAGGCCACGCGCCCCACGTTCACCGGCTTGCCGTCGCGCGCCAGCCGCGCGACGTGGTCCATGAGCTCGCCCACCTTCTCGCTCCGGAGGTGGTGGAGCGCGTCGAGGCGGTGCGGCGCGAAGAGCTCCGTGGCCATCATCTTGCGGAGCGCGCGCCACCGCGGCGCAGGGGGCAGCCAGGGCACGGACCCCGCCGCGTGCATGCGGGTGGCGTCGGGCACGGACCGGGTGGCGAACATGGCGTCGTGCCGCTGCAGGATCTCCCGGGCCATGGCGGGGGAGGAGGCGACCACCGTGGTGACCGAGCCGAGGCGGAGGGACATGAGCGGGGCGGCGTGGTTCCTGGCCAGGCGTGCGAGGGAGCGGTGCGGCTTGTCGCCAAGGAGGTGGAGGCTGCCGATGAGCGGCAGCGGGCGCGGGCCCGGCGGGAGGCCGGAGCGCGCGTGGGTGAGGAGGTTGAGGAGGTAGAGGGAAAGGAAAGAGACGACGAGCCATGCTAGCCACGGCACAAGCACCGCCACCGCCACCATTATTGCTTCCTTTCCCTTGTGCAACTCGGCCGGGGGCACTGGACACGAGTCTCTGATAAAACTGCTAGCTACTCGGTCACACAACGCTATTTATACTACTCCATCAGGATCTTGGTGTGACCCGGGGAGCTGGGAATGAAGACCAAATCTAGTCTGCTAAGTAGATGGGATTTAATAATTAGCGTCGGGCAGCCGACGAATTGGTTGGCGATGCGGAACATCTTCCGGCGAGTCCAGAACGATCAGAGGGTGCTTGAATACGTTTTAGTCTTACGACTAAAAATAGCCTTACTTATATTTGGATTTAAATATTAAAGAGACTAAAATCAAGTTAATGAGTATTTATTATCCTTCAATCCATTATGTGTTAAAAGAGAGGAGTTAAATGGTGAGAGAGATGACTAATTCATATTTTAGTAGGATACCCCTGACTAAATTTTTTTAGTCTCAAGGCTAGTTTTAGCCTCTCTTTAGTCAGGTGTGCTTAGAACTTTAGCATATTAAAAAGACTATTTTTAGTCAGACTAAAATAAGTCTCTTGAATCCAAACACCCTCTTAGCACATTTAACCTTGGTGACCACAGACGTCATGCATGACATATGATATGCCAATCATAGTGGCAAGGTCGAATACCTTATCCATGGTAGCCTCTTTTTTGAATGTGTGTTTTTGCTTTTAGAATGAGTGTGCCCTGTTTTTCTTCAAAAGTCCTCATCAGATTACACAAATCCACTGATAGATACGTAGACGAGGACGAACGAACTATACGGTTTGGCTGGAAGCTGGTAAATTCATTGGCGGCTGGCATGTACGGGAGCGGGAGCATGGCAAAGTTCACATTTGGATCTTTGAACAAGTACACGTGCTCCTATCGATGGTATACATCTACATAAACAAGGACGAACGGACTATACGGTTTGGCCGGAAGCTGATAAATTAAATTGGCGGCTGGCAGGTACGGAAGCGGGGAGCGTGGCAAAGTTTACATTTGGATCTTTGAACAAGTACGTGTGCTCCCATCGATGA